GATTGGTGGCAAGGTCTTATCATTTTACAGTTGAAATGGCCAGATGTAATCGTAAGTTTTAGGCTAACAATTTTCTTTCTATCGCACTTCTCGTTAGTGAAACTCCCTGTCGGCTCCATGCTTTCCAGCCAACTTTAATCTGCCAAGTTTTAAATGCAATGTCAATCGCTATCTACTGTCCTCCTGATTACATTTTTTCTTTGGCAAAGTTTCTGGATCTAACTCTTCCCAGTAAACCCTTGTGACTTTACTGACTTGCTTCTCTGTCAACTTTGATTTTCAAAAATTTAAATGCAACGCCAATCGTTATCTTCTGTTTACTTAATTTGTTTTCTTTTATTGTCCCTCCTTAAAAGTATATATTTGTCTCATATCCTGTAATGCCCATTAAACCAGTGCGTCTTAGTGGCTTTATTGCCTTGATTATGGGGTGAAATGATAAAAAATAGCGTTTTATAAGTTTAAGCTGAGAATTCCTATAACTGTTCGGTCAATGAATGTGGAATATTACATGTAGAGAAATGGCTAATTTTACAATTACTATTATATCTATTTAAAAATATATCCTCCCGTAAAATTATATTTTTTTGTTGCTATTATTGGAATTTAATAATTGAGCATTTATTTATTTTTTTATTATATTGACGTTTATTCGTATAAATACTGTAAAGACATCAATTAAAAGGTGCTACATGTTCTTCCGTTCAGTGTTTTATAGTTTTGATAAATCCGAATAAAACCTAATTTTCTCTTAACATCACTCGCATAACGATCAATGAACCTAGTCTTGCTGAATTAACGAATAGAATATGAATCATTAGCGCGACTTTTCTATATATTCCCTTGACACAATCGATATCTTTGATGGAAGATCATTAAGAAAAAAAAATGCCTACACAAAATTCACATCTTTAAACATTACCCACAGAATCAATACGTGGGAAAATTCTTATTGAATGAAAATATAGCCCAGTACTGACGTTGGTAATGTCTCCTTTCCCTAATCAATATCAGTTGCGTAATGCCATCGAATTCAAACATTGCCATCTCATCAACGGTTACTACACAATCTGTTAATGACGATGGGATCTCGTTTGGTATAGACTTGTTTCGGTGATTGTACAGGAGACTATCTTAAAACACAACAGCGTAGCTTTCTGTGGTTTTTGTTTAGTTTCGTTTATTTTGTTTTACGGTATATCAACACCTCAATGGGTTATTTTATGCCGGCAACATTTTTAGGATAGGTTGGTATGAATAGAATATGTATTCGTTGTAAGAAATCACTTTGTAGATTAAGTTTCATTAACGTATTTTTGTAAGGAGGGTATTTTATAGAGTCTCGTTTTGATTTACTACATATACTACCTCAATGGGTTACGACAAGATTTTTAGGATAGGTTTGTTGAATAGAATATGTATACATTGTAATAAATCAGTTTGTAGATAAAGTCTCATTGGCGTATTTCTGTAAGGAGGTTTTTTTGTCATGTCTAGTTTTATTGGTTTATTTATTTTGTTTTACGGCATATCAACACCTCAATGGGTTATCTAATGCTAACAAGTTTTTTTAGGATAGGTTTGTATGAATAGAATATGTATTCTTTGCAAGAAATCAGTTTGTAGATCAGGTTTCATTGATGTATTTTTTTAAAGAGGACTTTTGTCTAGTCAAACGTATTGCTGATTTTTTAAAAAAATCTATGACTGGTATTTTTTTTTTCAAAAATCTATTGCTGGTATTTTTTTTCAAAAATCTATTGCTGGTATTTTTTTTCAAAAATCTATTAATGGTATTTTTTTCAAAAATCTATTACTGGTATTTTATTAAAAAAATCTATTACTGGTATTTTTTCAAAAAGCTATTACTGGTATTTTTTTCAAAAATCTATTACTGGTATTTTTTTTCAAAAATCTATTGCTGGTATTTTTTTCCAAAAATCTATTGCTGGTATTTTTTTTCAAAAATCTATTGCTGGTATTTTATTTCAAAAAATCTATTACTGGTATTTTTTTTTCAAAAATCTATTACTGGTATTTTTTTTCAAAAATCTATTACTGGTATTTTTTTTCAAAAATCTATTACTGGTATTTTATTTCAAAAAATCTATTACTGTTATTTTTTCAAAAAGCTATTACTGGTATTTTTTTTTCAAAAATCTATTGCTGGTATTTTTTTTCAAAAATCTATTGCTGGTATTTTATTTCAAAAATCTATTACTGGTAATTTTTTCAAAAATCTATTACTGGTATTTTTTTTCAAAAATCTATTGCTGGTATTTTTTTCCAAAAATCTATTGCTGGTATTTTTTCCAAAAATCTATTGGTGGTATTTTTACAATAAAAAAAAAACCAAACTATTTTTATACTTTCATAGTGCTTAGACTCCAGTTTGGGGGATTACCTACTTCCCCAGAGCTGTGACCCTAACAGGAATTGACACCCCGGATCATTGTAGACGTGAGAACAACAGCAATTAAGAGGTGGTTCCATGCACGCCAAATCTTCACGATCAGAGACCTTGCTACCGCATGTAGTGTATCGGTATACCCAAGACGCGCTTTCTATGGTAAACAAACACTATTTACACGTTTCTCTCTAAAGTTCTTGTCTACCTGTTTATTTACTTAAGAGGCGCACTTAGCGAATAACTAAAATTCTGGGGATCACATTTAGTTTTAATAAGGAAAAATTAATCATGAAATTTGAAAATAGGAAAATAATGAAGATATTTCCTCAAATAAGAATTAAATTTTAAAACATTACATTGTATATTTAAGATGTTTCCTCAAATAAGAATTAAATTTTAAAACATTACATTGTATATTTAAAATGTTTCCTCAAATAAGAATTAAATTTTAAAACATTATATTGTATATTTAAGTATGCTTGCGTGGAACCTACGTTGGCATTTTTTTTAATATTAGGCCTCATATGATAGTCGTGTGTATGACGAGAAACTACATCCAGTAGCAAGGCTTCTGATCGGGAGACTCGCGTTTTTGAAGAGCGTGGAACCACCTCTAAATTATTGATGTTCCCAGGTCTACTCTGACCCGGAGTGGTAGCAACATTTGGAGTCCCAGCGATGGGGAAATAGTGAATTCCCAAACAAAAATCAAAACATTAGGAAAGTATAAATATATATATTTTATAGTAAAAATTACTTTTACTAAAGTAGATTTTTATTAAAAAAATTACCAACAATACTTTTTTGTAATGAAATTGCCAGCAATGTATTTTTATAATAAAGTTAAAACCGGCCATATAATGTCAAAAAATGAAAATAAATACAATTTGTTAGGATTAATACCATTTCTTGTAAAGTGAAACAAATACTCTCCCCTTGTTTGATTTTTGTAAGATTATATGGAAAATAAATGCAGCAAAGTAATTAAAATCTAATCTTGAAATAATGTCATTCTTATGAATTTTAAAGTTTGAATTTTCATATTTAGATTCCAGAATTAAATAAGCCGTATGGATTCCTATGTCTCTCAACGTAAACAACCAAGTACCTTTTATTATATCCTTTGAGGAAAATAGAAGGGAAAAGAGTATTCACTCCTTAAAGATTGAGCAAGTTAGTATCCAGATTAGAATTTCAAATGACAAAGACATGACTTAGACAGGGAATCCATGGGCTTGGTGTCGCTGGCTATTTAAAAATAAAGTTTTGTTTTTAATATAAACAAAATTCATAAATTGCACTTTTATTAACTTAGGATGCATCTGGCTACAATTCAAGGCGCATTAGTGCGCCTGGGCAAACTGGTTGAGAAACACTAAGCAATCTTTTGATCACTCGCCGGATTACTTCCGAAGTGTACTGGTCAAACTCTCTGCCACCGGGCGGAGAGGATCCCCAGACGAGGCTATGTCGAAAGGCAGAGTCTCGTCTCGGGAGACAGGTACTCGATCTTATTCTCTTACGGGGTTTACGGGTAATTTGGGCCTACGGACTCGTATATCCCACAATAAACGCGGCCTTGTGCTCCATCCAACCGCGTTTGAAGATTAGTAAATATCCTACTCTAAGAAATCTTTTCAGATGCTGAAGGTATAATATTCCTTCTCGTTTGTCATTTTCCTCCGAAACAGCAGTAACAACAAGGACCCGTTCATGGAAATAAATACTATCACCCGTAGAAAATTAAAAGTATATGAAACACTTTGAAAGTTTTAAATGTTATACCAAACCAAGTTCGGAAACCAGCGATGGTAATGTTGATATTAATGTTTTCCTTATTAGAAAGCATTCGGTATTCATTAAACGAAAAGCCAGAACTGCTCGAGTTAAGATTTTTTTTCGCTCTCTGTCTATCGGGCTGGAATCAAATTGTAGTATCTGTTTTCCTAATTTCAAATGGTAATGACAATATTAGCCGTTTCCTTATATGGAAACTTTCGGCATTCATTGAACGAGCAACCAATGCTAACGTCGGCTAAAATTTAAAAAAAATCTTTATTAAAATGGATTTTCAGGAAATAGGTTTCCTAAGTCCAGTAACTCTTATCGCTCTTTCTAGTATCAATGGCGACTTCTTCCTTGGTAGTCAATTTCACAAAGTAGTTGTTCCCGAGAAGAAGCTGCCTGAATAGAACTCCCTCCTTTCCAAAGGAATACGGAGGAAATGAGGCTGATTCAACTCTGTGTAAGTAGCATGGCGGGTTATGGCCGTAAATCTCTGAACTGGTAGTATTAAGTAATGAAGCTTATCAGAACCTTTGCCATGGAACTAATGTTAAAAGAGCGAGTGGATTCTGACGTTTCGTCTATCTCCACGTAAATGATGATGATGATGATGATGATGATGATGATGAATGAATGAGAATAGAGAAGGAATGAAGATCGATATTAATATTATCTTTAATATTCTGATTTAGCCGTTTTCGTGTTCTTTTCGCTTTAATATTTACGCTGTAACGATTTTATCATTTTCTTTTACTATCTGATGCCTCTTGTCCCTTCATATATTTTTGCATTCTCATTATTATTGTTACTTTATTGCTGTTGAGTCTATGGAGTACAGAACTGGTGGCTTGCATGCTAAAAATGTTGAAGAGAGAGAGAGAGAGAGAGAGAGAGAGAGAGAGAGAGAGAGAGAGCAGTGATGTGTGGCCGGAATATTAATCAGAGAGCAGCAACAAGCACTTTCGCATTCGTTTCTACTGACTCGTGAAGTAACCGTGAAAAGGCCGAACGACCTTCCGAAACGCGAAATTCCGTTTGGCACACGAAAAGGAAGAAAGAAGGCAAGAAAGAAAGAAAGAAAGAAAGAAAGAAAGAAAGAAAGAAAAAGGAAAAGAAAGAACGAACGAACGCCCGACCAATATTTAAAAAATGACAAAAACGTTAAAGAAGGAAGCAAGACGGGGATTGCATAGTCAAAAACACCTACGTCGTGTGAAGTGGATATTGGCGGGAAAAAGCCAAAAGAGTTGAGAAAAATAAAAGTAGCCGGAAAAAAAATGGCGGGAAAAAGCTAAAAGTAACTAGAAACATAAAAAATGGCGGCAAAAGCTAAAAGTGGCGGGAAATCAATTTTTTTTTTCATTTGTCTTGGTATTTACTTTCAGCTTTCGTGTTACCAAATCTAACATATTTGGGATTCATGAGGGTAGCTGTTTCACATCAGTTATTTTAAAAATAATAATAACAATAATAAATAGACGTGCAAACGGAGATGAGAAAATATGTAAACATGTGACCTTGTAATTTTTTTTTACATTGGAAATTGTGAGGCTTTAAAAAATGGATTTTCTGTTGCTCAGTCATGTCTTTCGTTTCACTGTGTATTTATTTACCACTGATTCGCCATCATAATTTAAACATATATGCATTTACACAAAAGGAAGTTCTCTGGATGAGACGTTGGTTTTTAAAGAAGGGACTCTGGTTCAAACTCTACCTGATAGCACATTTACTTTATGATGTCTATCAAATTCAAAAGCAGGTAAATGTAGTTCACACTGTTTAAAATAATAGAATAAAAATAAAACCATGTCGTCTATTCAAACATGGGCATACATAAAAATAATGATTTGACTAATACGTGTCTACATATTTTTTTAGATGAGTTATTGTAAGTATTTACATTATTTACTGTTGTCATCGCTTTATTGTCATAGTCACGACGTTTCGACCGTTGAATGATCCGGCCTACTTCAGGTGATAAACAGGTTGGTTCGATTTTCGTAGATGGTTGTCATCATCTACGAAAATGCAATGAGAAAAATAGAACAAGTAATACAGTAATAAAAAAAACACATGTAATGGATTCAGTTTATTCACTTTCATTGATGCTGTCACAGATCGAGAAGGTCCATATGAACACATCATTTTCGTGTCAGCCATCTGAACTAGAAAATTATATTATGTAGGATGACAAGACATTCGGACCACCCTGTAGATTCATAGATGAAATTACAAAACATCCTTCTAGGTGATTAAATGAAAGGATGATAAAAAGTGAGGGATCAGTTTTTCATTGTTCTTTAGTATTAAACACATCCCCCATTTCTTGGCCATGGTACAGCGTTGTCAGAAATTCTTGTCAATTGAAGAACAAGTGATACAGTAATACAATACGTATGTACTGGATTCAGTTTTATTCACTTTCATTGACGCTGTCATACAATGAGACAGTCTGTATGAACAACCATCATTTTCGTGGCACAAAATTATGCGGCGCCAAGTCCTGTGTGATATTTTATGTTGTTGATTGTTGTAATGACTCTTCGAACGGCGTCCTTCAAATGATGGGTATTCTAGTATCGTTCATTTGAAACTCATTTCTCGATAATATCCAACAGAGCATTGAAATATAACATTATAATATGTGGGAGTGACAAGACTTTCGGACCAAACCCTAAAAAAAAAATACATCTGCCTGTCGATTTATTTTATTTTCTTTGTCGTATTTTCTATAAATCGACACAATTTCTCTCTTTCTTTCTTTCTTTCTCTCTCTCTCTCTCTCACACACACACACACACGCATACAACATTCAATTAATTTTTCTCTCACTTCTTCTCACCCTTTTGTTTTCTTTTTCTTTCATTTTATTTTTCAAACGTCCTGTGTGATATTTTACGAAGCTGTGCTTTGTTGATTGTTGTAAAGGCTCTCTGAACGGCGTTCTTCTATTGGTGGGTATTCTGGTATCTCCGTGATAATACCCAACAGAGCGTTAAAATAAAAAATTATATAGTATAAAGGTGACAAGATTTTCGGACCAGCCTGTAAAATCTCCCCAAGGGCACATGAACCAGTAGATAAAAAAAGAAAACGTTGGTTAAAGTAATCCAGTGACTTGACTCAAAGAGTTGTGAGTTCAATACCCGCCCACCGCAGAGGTGAAAAAAAAAAAACACTTGGTAATCGCGTTACTAAAGGGATATAACTGAAACTGAGATATCCAGAAAAGGCATGGCAGGTGGAACTAGAACACGTTACCTCGGCGAACGAAATGAGGGGTTCGGTTCGAAATTCAAAATCATATCGCCTGAAGAAGTCCGGAGCGTACAACGGCTGAAACGTCGTGAATATGACATGATGAGAGTAATAGTCCGAACAATGTAAATAGTGTGAAAAAATAATACTGGATTAAAAATAAAATACATTAATCCTTTGAAATTGAAATTTAATTTTAATTACGGTTCGGGTATGAAAACAAAGTCAGCAAAAACGGGCTTTCGAGATCTGAATGAGAATACGTGCATACTTTAAAAGGGTAACTGAATATTACTCCGTCGAGACAACGGCCGAAACGTTTTGATAAATATGGCAACAAAGATGAGGATAATAGTCCGAATAATGTAAATAGTGTACATAATACCATATCTCAGAAATAGAGATAGATGTATTTTGTCATTAAAGAACGTATGCTTTATGCATTTTTGAGTAGTGTCATATGTTTTAATTAAAGAAAAATATTACCTAAATTAAAACCTTAAATTTAGATAAATTAACAAAAACATAAAAAATTGAAAGATATCAATGGCGTAAGCAAATTTTCAAGATACGACATTTTAAATCGTACAGTTAATTTCCGATAATTCTTTAAAAGTCAGTGATCGATTTGAAAATAATGTTTATATTATAAAAAGGTCTCCGATTCTAAACTGATAAAAACTAAATTTTGATTCTAATAAATGTCACGTCTAGAAAAAGGCATGAAACATGCTAATTTACAAAAATTATTTCCCTGAAAATGTCTGATTTTTTTATCGAGTGGTCCGGCTTATTTAATTAGTAGCTAAAGAAACAATTGAAGGCAAAAATAAAGAAGTTAAGGCAAAAAATGAAAGAAAATATTACCAAAAAAAAAAAAAAAAAAAAAAAAAAAAGAATTAACAAATAAACTAAAACTGAAAAATTATAAAATGGAGAGAAAGAACGAAATTCAACTGAGAAAGATAAGAGCAAGAAAATGGAAGAAACAATTTAGACAAATGGAAAAGAAAAAATAGACGTAAAAAAACAAACAAACAAAATACAAACATTTACTGAATGAAAATAGGAAGAAAGAAATAAACATAACGAAAGAATTGCAAAAAAGAAAGAAAAAGAAAAAAAATAACTGAAAGAAAGGAACTAAAAAAAAAGAGAAAAAGGCGATAAACAAACGAGAAGGAAACAAAAGAGATAAAAAATCAGAAATTAAAATAATCAAGAAATAAAATATTTTAAAAGTGCTGCAACTTTCTTTATATTCCATATCTTTTTTACTGATATCTCTTTGCTTCTTCATCTTCCTATTACTGTGTGACGCATGCGCAATTAGCCTCATCAGACCTCTTTACCGCCAACTACTCATCTTTCTCTTCACTTCAATGTACATGCTTTCGACAATTTATATCTAATCAAGTGACGTCTACGTATCAGTCCCGATCCAGAAACACGTATGCAAGATTAACAACGTGTGACGAACTAGACGATAAAACGGAGTTCTAAAGGAACCTCTTTTTATTTAACACCGCTTTCTTTCGCCTGGATGGAAAGGGTGCGAATGTCGAGTCACATCGGCATTTTGATGAGTACAACAATAACAACATCATCATCAACAACAACAACAACAATAATAATAATAATAATAATAATAATAATAATAATAATATACAATACACTACACAATAAAAACTAACCGTGCAGACATTGTTATTAGAGACCGCAAACAAAAAAAATGCCTCCTTATTGATATGGCAGTCCCTGCAGACTGCATTGTATCTTTGAAGATCTTCAAAAAGCTATCAAAATACAAGGTTCTTGAAATCGAAATGTCAAAAATGTGGTACATGGGAGAATCAATATCATGTTGTAGTTGGAGCCCTCGGATTAGTTAGAAAAGTTTTCAGTAGACGAATTAAAGGGATTCCTGGAAGTCCATGCCTTAAAGAAATACAAAAATTGTTCTCACGATTACAGCCCACACTTTACGAAGAGCTTTATCTATGTAAAATATGTTTGTGCTTTTTTTTTAAATGATCAGTGGAAAATGTCATGATGCTATCTGTAACCTTAGGTCTGTGGGAGGGACCCGGAACGAAATGTGTACACACCAGAAATCAAAGGAAATAAAATAATAATAATGATGGGTGCTCTTGGAATGATAAAAAAGAAACACAGCATCACATTGAATAAATTCCTGGAAATCTCAACTTAAGTGAAATACAAAAAAATAGTCTTGATAAGTCCAACCCACACACTAAGAAGAACTTTGTCCATGTAACGCTAGTGATGTTATAGGAGTTGGAAAAACAGATCATGAAATGCAGCTATAACAACACACCATTACCTGCCTTGGGTCTTCCTGTAGATTTGATAGATACTGTGACCATAGCAGAAATCGAAATATATTTATGAACATAATAATAATAATAATAATAATAATAATAATAATAAGCACAATGCACCGGCTGAAACTGCAAAATACTTAAAAAAGACAGCAAGGACGAATGCAACCGACCAGATACAGAAGCGATGGCAAGATAAACCGCTTCATGGCCAATACTCTGTCCGTACCAAACAAGCTGACGTAGACAAAACCCGTACCCATCAGTGTCTACGTAGTGCAGGGTTGAAAGTTGCAAGGTTTTATCCTTGCTGCACAGAACCAATGCTTGCTAACTAGGAATTATCAACCACATATACTAAAATATTGTGTTAGCCCTGTGGCACCATTTACGAGGCAGAAAAGGAAAAGAAAGAAAAGAAGGCAGAAAGAAAGGCGAGACGAATCGTGGGTGATAAGCAGACACACACACGGCTAAGAGACAATGAATATATTGATAAGTAACAAATGGCGAAAGGGTGTCATTACAATGACAGGTAAATTCTGAGTAAAAAGAAAGGGAAAGAAAGAAAGAATCAGATGTGTCTTGATAACGGCTGTGTTATCTAGGAGTACGTAAACAAACTGCTGGTCGACTCGCCAAAGAAAAATTCAAGTGAAAATGTTCTTTCGATAAGTGACGAAAAACAGGAACTTTGAATAGATATGGAAAAATTAATCGCGACACACACGAAGTAACTACACTGACCGATTTTCTTGCCGCAGAACATCTTTGGCCTACAATAATAAAATTATGTTATCAGAAATATGTACCGAAAGAAAATGAATGGGGACCCAGAAGTGTTTTTTCTTCTTTCTTCGAAGCGACAGACTGACTGAAACTTTGGAGATGTTTCTTTTTTGAGGCCGTGTTAAGAAGACCACCCATTCTGATAATTAGCGATAAAATACCTGACAAAAACCACGTGTAGAACAAGAGTTATGACCGCCATTGTCATATTGTCCCGTTTTCGGCTAGAAAAATGATAACGGCGATTAAGAGGAAGAAAAGGGAAAGAGAAGAGATAATTTTTTTTAGTTAAGCGTGATATTTTTTTTTCTTCCTGAAACAAAGCCGCGGATTCGTCCACGCCCGACTAAGACATCATTGGTCAAGTGGTGATCACGTGACGCACGAAGGAGGAGGAAAGATAATTTTTTTTGGTTAAACAAGATATATTTTTTCTTCCTGAAACAAAGCCGCGGATTCGTCCACGCTCGAATAAGACATCATTGGTCAAGTGGTGATCACGTGACGCACGAAGGAGGCTGTCGCCGCCTATCCAGAGTATAGGTATGAGAAGCTGCTACGAAGAAGTGGGGAGGGCAGTTCACGCCCTCTGAAGTATGGTGAGAAGGTGGGAGTGAGGAAAGGTTCCCAAAAATGGAAAAGAGTGGAAAATCCCTAACCAGAAATAAAAGAGGTGGATATGTATTTAGAATTATCGAGGAACCCCCGACGCCGACAGACCCACCCCGGTTTTGGTCGGCGTCCATAAAAGCGAAACCCCTACGAGCAGAAATCAGTTCGGGCTCCAGCAGTTTTCCAGAGTTGAATTCCAGCAGTTCCAGTGAGTTCAGCTGACCAAGATTCACGCAAATTCCGGACTCCTCTTCAACCCAAGAACAATTATTTTGAAGAGCGACTTAGATCAAGACCACCGAAATTTTTTCGACTTTCGTCCAAGGACACACCGAAACACCAATTTCTTAGAGAGCAAACAACTTGAAGTGTTAAAACTTACCTAACGGAAAACGACGTGTCACAATCCACAGAACGGGTCGGGAGATAGATGCAGTCCTATGTATCGAACAACTAGACATAAAGTTTGTTACCTTTTTCTTTGATACTTTGAACTTTTTGAGTTTTCATTTTATTTTCTTTTATGCATATTTGTGTGGTATCACCCCCGTTGAACTCAGTTTGCATTACGGCCCCGACTACTGGTTGATCTCGTCTGCCTAAGATCAATTCACAACGTGGATGGGCAGACTGGTGATCAATGCAGTTACCTTGGTAACTAGGCGTTGGAAGCGAGTTGGGAATGACGAGGCTGATATCAAATCTAACCAGATTCCCACCCGAATCACCAAAAGGTTAGAACGTCACATTTGGGTGCCGCGACCGATACCAAGCCAGTTGGTCGTCACAGGACGAGACAACACGACTGACGCGACAGGCGGATGTCACGTTTGGAGCAGCGACACCCGAACGGAGCAGCGAGGAGCGAACAGCTGGCGCCGCGGCTAGGACGTCACAATTGGTGCTGTTTGGGGACGTCACAACTGGTGCCGTGGTAGATCAGGATAGAACGTCACAGTTGGCGCTGCGACCAGTGGACGACGTCACAGCCCAAAATGCAGATTCTGTGATAAATATCCAGAAACGATTGATCATCTTGTATCAGGTTGCACGATATTGGCACCCACTGAATATAAACCCCGACATGACAGAGTGGGCCAATATCTGCACTGGAAAATCTGCAACTTCTACGGGAAGGAAACTGAAAGAAAATGGTATGAACACCACCCAGACCCGGTTACGGAGATAGGACCTGTTACAATTCTATGGGACTACACAATACACACTGACAGAACAATCAAGGCCAACCGGCCAGATATTGTTATTAAAGACCACAAACAAAAACGATGCCTCCTTATTGA